GATAGATGTAAGCTCTCAGCTATGGCTTAGCCCCATGCCTGCATGCCCGCCGCCATACTTCCCCGCCATGATGAGCATAGACTAACCTTCTGAAACTATAAGGAAGCCCCCACTTAAGTGCTTGCTTTCTTTCATCTGCTGCTTAGTCATGGTGTCTCTCCACAGCAATAGAGCATCAACTAAGACACCTCAGTAAGGGCCTCTTGAGGACTCTTTCATGTGTGCCATTGGCCAACCCCTCTTGTTGGAGCTTGGAGCTTGAAGCTTGGTGCTGGGTGATGGCTCTGATGCTTGACACGTGGCCAACCTTCAGATTGCTCCAGGCCAATGAAGAATCCTGATGAGGCCTTGTCCACAGTGGTTTCAGCTGGTGTCAGGTAGAGAGACATGGCTGGAGATACAGGCTTCAGGCTGAGGGGTCCAAGAGTGTGTGCAGGCAAATGAGGCTGGAGGGTCCATCAACTAAGGGTACCAGGCAGGCCCAGCTCTCTAAGGGCTGTGACTAGAATAAGTCCCTTTATATGTCTCTCAGCAACACCAGCCTTGTGAAGTACAGTGGTGACCAGAGAGGCCTTAGCTAAACAGGGACCTGGGCTCCACGGGAAGGATGTCTGCTTAAGCATGTAAGCATGTTCTTTATCATATGACCCAGTGTTTTCCCCGAGGGACAGGGCAGGGAATCCTCAACTCCAGAAACTCTCTTTCCTCACCCACCTCCAGAACGTAGTGTTAGAACATAGAGGGAGAGGAGCAAATGCCTGAGAATTGTGTGCAGTGCCACCCACTCAGACACTACGGAGGTCACTGACCCTCAGGCTCCTGCCAGCAGCCCAGCACAGGCCTCCTGTCTCCTCCTCTGGAACCCAGGAAACTGTCTTGACCATGTGTGATGTGAGCCAGCAGCTAGACAGCAGGGACCCTTTGTTTGGAATGCATGTCAGTGGAGGGTAGTCCCTATAGGCTTGCATTTGTAGACCAGAGGAGGCAAGTCTCCTGGCTCCATCCTCCCGGCCTTTGCAGGAGCCATGCTCTGACATCCAGGCTCCCGGGGAGTTCAGATTCCCATTCCACCCACACTCAAATGCGAAAATGCCCTTTGCATCTGGCCCCTGAAGTGATACTTTCTGTCCCTCCAGCTGCGTCAGTGTGGTCTGAAGTTGGCATCACTACCCCATGCTAGTTCCCAGTTCACTGAATGCTCTTTCTCTGGGCAGCCCCGGGACCTGGCCTCAGCCACCAGGGGCAGCCAGCCCAACTGGTCCAAAGCAGTGGACAAGAATGGTCCCCCCCATAGTCATGAGAGCCCTGCCCAACCCTGTTCTTGGGGAGCAGGCAGTGACTGGGAGAAAGCAGGAGGGGGCACCCTGGCAGGGCTGTCTTGGAGGAGGTCCTCTGCCATCTGTGCCCTGGAGGTGGAAGTAGCAGGAGACAGTCCTTTCTGGGCTTCTTTTGCTTAGGTCCCTGTGCCATTTTCTTTTACTGGGTACAAAGCCCATCCCTGTGAAGCTGGCCTGTGGGCTGTGTGCACAGAACTGCCTTGTTTCTGCCATTACTCAGTCGTTCCCTGCACTCGGCTCCCAGGGCATGTGGGGGAGGAATAGCTAATGACAGGCAGCACCCAGCCTCCCAAGCCCTTTGTTCATTCACTGGGTGACACTTCCCGGGTGCTGCTGAGGGCCAACCCTGCACCAGGGACACAGAGGGCAAGAACCTTATCCCCTCCTTCTAGAAAGCACTCCCAGCACCTGCCATCGTTGGCAGGTGGAGAAGCAGGGCGTTGTCCAACCACAGTGGGACAGGAGACAAGCTCTGTGTGCTCAGAGAGCACAAACTCTATCGGTAGTGCAGTCGGAGGTGGAGACCAGTGAGTGGAGTCATTCTTGAAGAGTACGTAGGAGTTCCCATGAAGCAAGTTTTAAGAGCATTCTAAAAGGCATAGTGGTTAACAGATGATGCAGGAGGATTGCTGTAAGTTCAAAGGTAGCCTGGACTACCAAGTGAGAATGTCTCAGGAAGGAAGGAAGGAAGGAAGGAAGGAAGGAAGGAAGGAAGGAAGGAAGGGAGGGAGGGAGGGAGGGAGGGAGGGAGGGAGGGAGGGAGGGAGG